TTCCCAGCAGCTACTCATAAATCCAATTCGTTACTAGTTAAAAAAGGAATCTTGTCCACTGGCAAAAATCAACATTTCAGTGATGTGTTTGGAGCAGTACAAGTTGAGGTGGCAGAATAGTGGCAATCTAATAAAAACCCTGAGCTGAAATTCAAATTCCAAATACCCAAGCACATAGCACAAAAATGTCCTTAAACTATGCATCTTTAAGATAGTGTTTGTCCAGTATGATAACAATCTTGCTGTGGCTTGAGGCCATATCTAAAATACACTCCCACTTCCTGTAGGCCTGTCAGATACAGTCTCCTCATAAGCATGCTCTTCCAAAGCTCAGATGTGTGCGTGTGGGAAGAGGTTTTTGTAGCTAATGACATTCTGTAAACATAGGGTGGGTTTGATTTAAGCTCTGGCTTGTCCCCAATTTCTGTAATCTTGCCAGTTTTGCCTGAAGAGTGTGGGCTTCCCTCCAATCCTCCAGAAGAAACATGTCACACTAGGTAGGCAAAAGACTGACAAGAAACAGCCAACATGTTTAACCACAAGTTTCCTCTTGTTTCACACTTTTTGTACCATGGTAATGTGTGACTCATTAGTCCCATTTAGTTTTTGCAAACCACAATGGCCTTTTTCTGCTGTCATTTTAATTGGGGATGCTCAGTGGCTCAGTTTCCTTCTATTCCTCGACTGTGAAACTGATTTCATTTTAGTGCAAGAAAACTAAATTAAAACCACCACAGAGAGACATGGTTCTGGGTTTGGGTTCGAGTGGGTCCCCCTAACGTTTGCGTCATGCATGTGTGCAGTTTCACATGACTTTGCTCATCAATATTTGGTGTCAGCAACGTGCAAATAAATGTAATAAAACATCAATAAATTCAGTGAAGGCTGCAGTATAGTAAACAGGGATGTAAACAACACTGGACTTAAAATACTTTAGAAACCAGCCTCGGTCACTGGAGAGGAGACGGAAGGATACACACTATGCATTTTGGTGTGAGGCACTGAATATAACTTTTGCTTGGAGCTTCAAATTTTCCAAAGCAAATAAGTTTTATAATAAAACAAATTTATATTAACTCAAGTGACAGCTTCATGCCTTTTTCTTAGCTGATTAGTTTATGCAATTGTATTAGTTTTTTTTTTATATTGCAGGGTATAATTTTCTATGCAGAGATCATAGAAAACCCACAAATCTTATGAGAAAATCAAATATAATGTAATAGCCTATATTATGTAAGTATAATTTAATTTCAGCTTTGTCACACATGATGAAAAACATGAGTTAATATTCAGTTACACAACTCTCTAGCAGCTACTTCAACATTGTGTGTTTCACCCAAAGTAGCCCAGATTCACTTGGTGCTTAAAAAATAAAAAACAAGATTGAGTGGCATAAATAGGCAGCACATGCACACAGGTATGATGCATATTTCCCCACTGTGGAAGACCACAGAGGATTGAAAAATGCTAATTAGTTAAATGCTAATGTGTCCAGCAGCTTTTCCTGTTCGATACCAGGGCTGATGAGGATCCTGATTTGGGTCCAGTGGGACCTCACCTGCAGCACAGTGACTACTCTACATGCAAATATTGCCAGAAGAAAACAAACCGGTAAAGTAACTCATTAACCAACTGGTTATGAAAGAGTCATCAGCTTCCTGTGAAGCACAGAGGGGGGGGAGGAGACACAGCTCCACAACATCAGAGCCTGCTGTGATTTCCGTTGCAGCCTCTGTATGTGAACATAGTGCAAAGTGTTTTACAGGCAATCATTTCACATTACTTAGACACTGACACTTGAAATATCAGAAGTAGTCGTTGCAAATTTTACTGCTATTTCCTGTTGTAACATATCAATGTTTATTACTTTAAGCAGTTTCAAGAAGCTGCCGCTCTGAAACAAATACAGCTTTAACTGTGGAGCAGCTAGTGCACTCCACCACACAACAGCAAACACAAAGCAGGGACCTTGCTAGTTGGACAGGTAGATAGCGATAGTAGGGGAGTAGCTGCTTCAAATCATGTGCAGTGCAAAACGGTGCTGCTGTTTAGGGTGCAGGGATTGGCCAGAACAAAGAAAAGCATCTCCTAGTTTTCCTCAGATCTTTGGTTTGAAATGAATAATCAGCATTGTACCAATACTCCCATAAAATGTCAGTCACATTCCTTCACTAAAAAGAGAGAAACTTCACTGTTCAAATATAGATTTATTTCCATAGTCCTTTCATACAAACATCTTTTTTTTTCTCCAAAAAATAAACTGTCAAAACAGATGAGTCAAAAGTGCACAGGCGTAGCTGTGAATTCTAGCCACAAAATAGTCTGAGTGGGTAAAGCTGTGTGATGTTTAGATACTGTACAAAGCAACAGAAGGGAATCTTCAAAAGTTGACACACAATCATCTGCAGTTCTCTCTCTTCACTCTGAATTGGTCTCCAACACCTGAGTTGTACGGGAACAAACATTTTATCAACAGGTACAAGTACATTGGAGATTCTGTTCCTCTGTGCAAAGATTCATTAGATTGGACAGTGAATTATGGGCAATTAAATTCTAACTTCAACCCCAAATGATAGACTGCAGGTGCACAAATGTGTCAGTTATAACATGTCTCAATGTTGGGTTTGAGCGTAAAAATATTTCCTTGCTAAGGAGGCAATCTGCTAGCAGGGCATGTCATTTTCATTTATTTTCAGTGCAAATCAACTTGACTAGAAATTTTGCTTTGACCCTTGTGATCTGCTTCACTAATCCACTTGAGAGGCTTCGTTCCTGATGTTAGGACTTTCCCCTCTCATTCGGGAGAAAAACAATATGTTATTCAGAGGAACTTTAACTCCCTATGAAGATACACACTTGTTTGCATTGTGGCATATGCGCATAGGCTCATGGACAAAGATTTTAACTGGTTAACCGGAGGCATAAATGTTCCCTCACCAACAAACAAACCCCAATTTAAGCACAAAATTGTGCATTTTCCACTGAAGCTCAAATTCTCACCAGATGGCCAGCGTCTATCAGTTGACGAAATGCTCCTCTTTAATTTCATGTGTTGCGTTCAGGTGGTTGGCCAGCTCTTGCGTCACAGCATCTTTACCAATCTGATCGTTCCTCCTCTTCTCTATGATCACGTCCTCCAGGCTCTGAAACTCCAGGACATGACTCTTCTTCTCTGAAAAGCCCATTTTTAATCTGTATGGCTGTTTTCCAATCCGTATTTCTCCTCCAATTTTGAATTCCCGTTTTCCAAAGCGGCACCAGGCAGCAAAACACTCCGAGTTTCTCCATTTCAGCTCTCCGTCTCTCGTGCCCACATGGTCCAGGGCGTTACGCACAATCACCTCCGGCGGAAGCGCACGGTACCTGTAGAGGCCGTTCACTATCCTGCCTTTTTTGCCCTGACTGACATCGGTGAGAAAGTTATTCTTTATCTCGGAACGGTGCAAATGAACTACCTGAAAGTCCCCAACGTAAACAGCCCAGTGGGTATACTGCCCAGTGGCCACAAACTCTAGTAGGTCTCCCTGTGTACACTTGTTCAGGAGACTTTCCGCAGTATATGTCGCGGCTCCGGTCTTTCTTTCGTATATGCACTCCTCTCGATAGTAAATCGCGCACTCCAGCTCGTCCTGGGCGTCGAATTGCTTCTCTTCATGATTTGCCGTGTGTATTTCTGATGGAAAGTGGTCATAGTTGTCGTCCTGGTCGTCGTCGTCGTCGTTGGAGAAAATGTAAGACACACCAATCCGCGGTCCATCGTCCCCCGGATCGAACCCATTTGGGTCCGACGTGGGCACCTCTGCGTAATTTAAATGCGTTAGTTTTTCCACTCGATTCCCCATAAACGTGACAGATGGATGAGGGGGGATAAAGGTGAACACAAGAAGGGCTCCACCTGTTCTTGGCGCACCGGCTTCAAAGAGGAGACAGAAAGAGACGCAGAGTTGTGCAGTGTCTTAATTAACTAAATCCAAAGCGGTGAACGCAGGTACCATTAATCCATGTCCAGCTGTATACATCCCATAGATGAACTCCAACTGCGCCTACGTGTACAGAAATAAGACAGTAGCGTAAACAGTGAGTTCAGGAGGCGACTGAAAACCAATCTGCAAGTCAGTTTTACATTCCCAACAGGTGTGACCTGATACACCTGTTGGTTCAGTTTCCACGACAGTCAGTTGTAACTACGGCCATATTTACTTTTTATACAACCTCGGCACTACATGTATACAATTCACATTTAGGCTGTCATGTTATCTTAGGTGTAGCCTACTCCATATTGATTTTCTTCAGGTGAATCCAGAGTAAACTGACTGGACAGCAGACACACTTACCTGCAGCTCAGCTTGTATCAGTAGCTTCTCACTCTGCTGTTGTCTCATCGGTGAAATAAACTAGATTCCAGACTGTGCTGGCAGCTGCGCTCCTTCCTCTGTGGAAGACTGATGTGTGGCTTGCACTGCTGTACACTGTCTGTTGCATGATCCACGGTGTTTGTTGCAGAGAACGAAACTCACCCAGATCTAGTGACTGTTGGGAGGTGTTGCAATTTAAAGCGACAGTACGCCTTGTTTCCTCAGTCACAAATTGTGTTTAAACAAGTCTAGAGACAATTAGGAGCTTATCCAAGTAGAGTACAGTACTGTAAACCATCGACTTTCAAAAAGCACAAATAAAAATTTATTTTGAATTGCAGCCTGTTATGCAGATAAGGGGAATAATGCAGGGATATATAAAGCAAGAATTTGTGCTTCGAGGTTGTAGGCCTCCACCAACCTGTCAAATTCACGTGTATGGGATAGAAGTGAGGCAACTGACCTTGACATTTGACCACCAAAATCGAATCAGTTTGGACAGTCCGGCTGTAGCCACAACATTATGGCCACCGGACGGCAGGAAAAATGGGCAAGTGTAAGGATCTGAGTGACATTGACAAGGGTCACACTGTGATGTGTGAGATGACTGGTCAGAGCATCTCCCACACTGCAGGTCTTGGTGGGTGTTGTTGGTCTGCAGTGGTTAGTACCTACCAACAGTGTCTAAGGAAGGACAAATGGTGAACTGGTGACAGGGTCATGGACGCCCACAGCCCACTGATGATGAGGTTGACCTACTATAGATTAAACTTTTAACTTCTTTTGTACTTTTCAAAAGATTAAAATTTATTTGAATATTTGTTAAAATGTTTGAAAATGATAAATACTGTCCATTGGTCTCTATGAAGAGAAAGAGTCAGGGGCTGTAGTGGTGATATCACACCTAGAGTGGTGAGTCCGTTGGATTTTTCTAAACAATTCTCCCTAACTCATCTTCACGACCACAGGTTTTACTCCTTTTACATAAGTTTTTCACTGAATTGTAGACACATCTGGGCTCTTCCTGACAGTAGAACTGTGGAAGCAAATAGATTCACAGAAGATGAACAGTGAGATGCAGAATGACACGAGTGTCAACCAGCTACCACATTGACTCCTATGTAAACAGTATTAGGCAGGTGGTCATCATGTTATGGCTGATCAGTGTATAACTGCAAGCAGAAAACTGGAGGAATAAGTTGAAATGCACAGAAGTGAAATACAACCAGGACCCTGACACTGAACCATCTATGGTATTCAGCCATAATTAATGTTATTATTTACACCTGTGCTTTTCCTACTGTGACATGTCAAAATGTGGCCTACTCCAAACTTGGCCATTAATGAGTGCCAGCACAGGCACAGATGTGAACGATTTTTGGCCCGCTCTCTCTTGACAGTACGTTCTGTAAAGTGCCGGTGTCACTTGGAGCCTTAAATACTGCAGCTCTGCTCTAAAGAAAATTGTTTTATTCACTTCAGAAGGGGAGGTCAACCAAAGCAAGAATAGTTTCTTTGACAACTCTGTAGAAGTGTGTCAACTCTGGTGGCAGCATGAGAGGTCAGAGTCCTTTTTTGATGGGAGTGTCCGACTGTTTAAGTTTAGCTTCAAAAGGCGGTGGGAGTAAAGCATGACATCTGGATCAAAGCAGAGTTTGTAGTGCACGTCTTTCCCACTGTTCTCTTCGCTCTCCATCCAGCTCTGGCACTGCCCTGACCAGGAGTCCTGTGCCACAGAATGAGAGCCAAAGGTGAAAATACTCCTTGGACAAACCAGGTAGCGAGGATTGGAATGGTTCAGGCAGCCATTACACCTCCTTCCTGGAGCTTTTGGACAGATGAAAGTAAATTCCAGATCAAATATAACCAGAAGAAAAAGCAAACATCTATGGGAAATAGATTTTTTTTTTCTTGTTAACACTGTGTCCGTGTGATATTGTGATTGAATTTCTGAGGGAATTTACAGCTCTGCTTCCCTCCAGAGAAACGGCTTAATTGCTTTGCCTGTGATATGGCAAACGCAATGCTGATACCTGTTCATTTTACACAAACTGAAACGCTGTTGTGAAATTCACTGTGACATAAAATGTTGTGA